TTAATTGAGAGAAATCATATATATATATATATATATATATAGTTTCGATAAATTGTAATTTGAAAAGAATACGTCATTTTGCAAAAATAATATAATTACTTAAGATTGGCGAAACTCACTTTAAATAACAGTGAACTTTAGTTTTAATAGCTTCATTGTGATTCCAGCAAGTAATCGCGAAAGTTATTGTCCAGGGAATGACCAGAACCATTGTGAATTGCGATCGCTTTAATTTCTAATAATAAAATTAATTATGGAGAGATATATATACTCTCTTCTCCTCAAGGACTCGGCCCTCGGTCTCGCGTTCGTTCCCACTTTACTCCCCTGGATCTCAGGAGGGCGGCAGGCAGCGTCCCTTAGGTTGCAACCAGTTTCGAACAGTTCGACGGAAACCAGTCGAGCGAGAGGAAAAGACCGGGAAGAGAAAGAGAAGAGGAACTCTCGTTCGCAGGAGGGACTTACGGACACTTGGTCGCTCAATGGCGCGAATTTAAGAGCGCCAGCCGTTACGCTTCTCATTCGTTAGCATAAATTAATTATTTTTCAGGGATGCCACAGTGGAGGGAGAGGACTGTAGCCAGGGGCGGTCTGGTCTCGCTAAAGATCCCAAGCCCCGGACATTCGTTGCTTGATGGCTTGTTGCTCGGGCGCGGAAATCGAGACGCCGCATTGCGGACCTCACGGTTGATTGTCCTCCGTCAGGATGTTAAGACCCATTAAATAAAACGCGTATCTGTAGTCGTACTAGCCGCCGGCCATGGATTTGCACTCCATCTTCATTTAGTACAAATTTGATAAAATACATTTCCTTTTTATTTTTAATTTTCGACATTCAATATTTTAACAATTAAGAATTAAATTTGGTTGTTGAGTAGAGATCTGTGACAATTCAGAAATAAAATTTGTACACAATCTTTTTAATTTTTAACGAAAATAATACGAAAATTATACTGTCGGGAAATTATTTATTTATTGAGATGCATCTTGCATCTCAATAAATAATAAATAAATTTCGTATTATTTTCGTTAAAAATTAAAAAATTGTGTACAAATCTTATTTCTCAATTATCACAGATTTCTACTTAACAACCAAATTTAATTCTTAATTGTTAAAATATTTAATGTCGAAAATTGCAATTATTTATTATATGTACTTATTTATTTATTTAGCGATATTTATATTTATATTTGACCTGCGTACTAAAATTATATTTATATGTATATTATTAGTACAGTTCAAATATAAAAATAAATATCGAATAAATATATATAAATATATAAATAATATAGTTTGAAGTATCTATAGTCTAAAGAAAATTTAATTTATACAAGTTGAATTGATAATAAATATTATTTTAATTATAATATAAAATGGGTATTATATAGATATAAGCTGATAAAAAGATCGCTTGGGCAAGTTAAGAGGAGTTTTACATTTTGCATCTAAAATCTGGCGGTGACACGAACTTCGATAACGCTCCGACAAAATTAACGGCTTGCCTTCGTAATTCAACGACTGGTTGAAATACTGAATTAGCACGACCGTGCGACATATCGCTTTCGAAATCATGGTGGATAGGTTTTGAGGTCGCGTCCAGTTCGCGCGCGCGTACGGGCGCACAATAAGCGAAGTGGACTTAGATTGGGCTAATTAATTAATGCGCACGTCCTGTCCCATCCCGCCTAATTATCTCGCTTGTCAGCTCTACTACCGTCGTTCGCTACGCCGTTAATGCCAGTCTCTCTGTTCTGGCGTGTAACCGCTGACTGCGTCTCTCTCGCTCGTAATTATAATCGGGCTAATTGTGACGTCAGGCAGGAAACTACACCTAAAAAAATCCATCTGACATACATATGCGGCTCGCGAGAAGCCTGCAGCGGCACACATTGTATATGATCATTCTCCAGGATCGTGATACCGATCTGATGCGATGCAGATGCACGCCCGCGAAGATAAGCCGTGCGAATAATTTTATTTTATTTGCACTTATTGGAAATTTGCAGCGCGAATAGCTACGCTCTCAGGCATTCGCTCTTATTGTGAAAGAAATTAATTAATTGACTAAATTTTATGAAAGTACTTACATAGTCATTTTTAATAATCATGCTAATAATTTTGATAAATTTGAGAAGTTTTCTCTTACATTCATAATTCATATCTTTATTTAAACATCATCAAGAATGCTGTCAATTTTTATCAATTTATATTAATATATTTTAATTTATACACAGAAAGAATTTACCCTAAAATCATGATAAATATTAGGACAATATGATATTGAAAGAATTTTAGAGTTTCTCTGATTAATATTTACACTACAATAAAAAATATTAATATCCACAATAAGATATAAAATATGTTCTATTAATTTTACTATGTACGTAGTAAAATTATCTATAATTATCTATAAATATTTTTGTGGTAATTAATCAGAGAATGTTTTATAAAATTCTTTTAATACCATATACTGTCCGACGGTTACCACGATTTTCAGAGTAAATTCTAAAAGAAAATTTTCTGTGTATAATTTTAAATTATGTAAGTCTATTAAATAATATTGAGTTTTAATTATAAAAAATGTTTCTAAAATTTTACTAGAAAAAAATTAATAAAAAAATTATGAAAGTCCATTGCATTCTCGAAACGTTTATCTAATGTATTTATATCCGACACAATAATGTGTACAATAATGTGTACAATAATGTGTACAATAATGTGCGACATTATCTTGCTCGTTACACTGCCGATCGAAAAAATTATTCGAAGATAGAGCGTTCGTATTTTCCGCCACGTAGTTTACCCGTACAGATAATTAGCGTTATACTGCAGCCTCTCGGATGCGCCTCTTCACAAATAGCTTCGAATCTCGCGGTTCATTAATTTCGAAGAATCCACGTGCGCGCAGCCGTATATACTCTCGCGACTCAACGGAAACGTTATAGGTCGCAGTAAAAGAACCGTCTCTCTAGCCTCCGGTGGTAGGCTCAAATTTGAATTGGCGATCGCATCGATGATCGCCTGGCACGATGGGAAAAAAGCAACGATGCGTATCTAGTCGTTCACCGGTGATAATTTAGTGCGTAACAGCTATATAGAGTTCAACATTCAAATCTCAATTATATTATTTTTGGCAAAATTGATGACAAATTTAATATAAATATACATATATACATAATAGGATGTTTTTTAAATTAATATATATTTTTAAGTATGACTTACGAGATTTTATAATTTTAAAATTAAAACTGAAATATATTTTATTATATGTAGACATATATCGTGTATTTTTTAAATTAATGATCACAGTAGCGAAATATGAATTTTCTAAAAGGTATAAAGGTATATAAAAGTATATAGTGTTTATATTCACTACCCATCTGATAGCGTAAATGCAAATCGAGAATTAGTATCCACTGCGGTTGCAAATTTCTATTGAATTTCTGGCCGAGAATTCCATATATGATATGTTTAACGATTATATATAGTAAATTAAAGCGGGATAAGATAGTAGCGCGATACGGAGCGGCAATATGTTATTTTAATTTAAAATTACGCTCGTGATAATGCCACGCCCACGTTCACCACTTGCCAACTGGACAGTGCGTATGGTGCATATACGTACATATAGGAATGCATATCGAGTACAACCACGCCGCGTCTTCGTTTCTACCGAGAAGGTGCTTGGAATTTGAATGAATAACCACGGATCGTGGCGCAAGTCGAGGGAGAAATAGGAGAAAAAAGACGAACGTGAAGAGTAAAGATGAATTATGGAGGAATGAGACAAAAAATGTTCCGTGTTTCGATTTGCTCACGCGTTTTTCCCACAGTTATCACACACACACAATAAGCGACTTCCATAATAAGTGACAAGCATAATTTCAAAAAAAAAAAAAAAAAAAAAAAAAAATAAAGCAATTGTTCTTGTTGGACCATAACTGCAATTTGAAAATTTTAGAGCTTTGTTTTAACATGTTTTCAAATCATTTTGTGACCAAAGTGGAGATCAACAAAAAAATAATTCTGACTATCAGAGGTCTATGTGCATGTTATAGTTTAAAATTCATTCATGTTATAGTTTTAAATTATGTTGAAGTAAATCCTCGATTTTGTGAATAGCTTCTGAATAAGAGGTTCCGTTGTTATCGTACAAATTCTCATGTTAATACTACCCTGTAAAAAATTTGTAAAATTACATTAAAAATATGTAAAATTACATAAACAATAAATGTAAAATTACATGATAAATAATAAAAAGGTAAAAATTTCTATTATTTATCGTGTAATTTTACACTTATTATTTATGTACTTTTACATATTTTCCTGTAATATATTACATATTTTTTTACAGTGTACACAGAGAAATATTTCTCTTAGAATTTACTCTGAAAATCATGGTAATCATGGGACAATATGATACTGGAAGAATTTTATAAGTTTCTCTGATTAATATTTACCACAATAAACAAATATTAATAATCTGCCACAAGATATAAAATATGTTCGATTAATTTTATTATGTACATAATAACATTTTTTTGTGTAGATATTAATATTTTTTATTGTGATAAATATTAATTAGAGAACATTTAAAAAAATCATATAAAATTGTTCCCATACTACATTACCCCACGATTATCATAATTTTTAAAATAATTTCTAAGAGAAAATTCTCTTCGTATATGACATTAAAACGCTAAATAAAAAAATAAAGGACAAGGAGATGGTCAACGTTACCATAGCTTTAATACTTTGTTGAATATTCTTATATATTCGTTGTGTAAAGAAATTATTTTACAATAACTGACCTAGTAACTTCTATGTAAAAGTACATGGATTTTTTTCAGTGTAATCCGAAGTTTTCAGTGTAATACGAGTCCTTCAAATTCTAACTTTCAGTAAACTATTCCTTTTCTCATCATCATATTATAAGATATCGTAAAAGTATATGTACTACAATAGAGAATATTATATAAATCAAATTACTATTACTCACCGGCACGATGCGCAGCGAAGTTGTAGCACACAATGCTGGTCTGTAAAATATAATAAATACATCTAAATTAAAATATTATCTAAAATAATATCTATATACATTATATCATTAATAATATATAATATAATAATTGAAATAATACCTAAAATAATTTAATATTTCGAAAATTAATTATTAAACGCAATTGATTTTTTTTTATTTATTTAAACAGATATTCAAGAAAATGTTTAAAAACATTTTAGAAGACTCTTTTTTATGATGTAAATAAAAAAAATTTGATTTTCTTATATATAAATAATCTAAATTATTATAAATTTTTTAATCAATGTTGAGTCAATGTGCAATGTAAAGATTTTTTTAAATTCACATATTTTATATATTTCATGATAAAACATGAATCTGTCACTTGGAAAGATTGTCGTTCTCGTTCCATTTTATAAATAAAAAAATTAATAAATAATGGCATTCTTTCAAATAGATTTATACATAAAATATAAGCTTCAAAAAATCAAAGAGATTTTTATGAATAATAACTTTAATAATATATTTAACACACACATACACAATGCTTTTTCGATTATAAAGAATTTATTTTATTTTTTACAGCCATGTTGACCTATGATACATTGTATTGTACATTAAAAAATATTTGTTAACTTGACTAAACCTTTCAATTAAATATTATTTGATTAATTAAACATTCAAATATTTGGATTAAATATAACACATTATATCTAACCAAACGTATATTTTATTTAAATACTAATATATATTCAATTAACAAAATAGTAATTTAGTTGAAAGGCCTACAATTAGTTCAGTGTATTAGATCTGTTCATTTCATTCTCTCAAACTAATATTTAAGACAAATATATATTGAAGTGAGTAAACGAGATAAAAAGAAAGGAGAGAGAGAACGCAGAAAAAAATTGCAAGCAAAACAGACATAATATCCGTCTAATACAATAATCGCTCATATTTTTCGACCTAATGTTACAAACTTTTATTTGCAGGCAATATTTATTATCGATAAAATAAAATCATAATTTGAATGTATTAAGAGAGAAGTAATTATAATTGTAATATTATACCGTAAAAAATTATGACTGTAGCGATTAATTCCAATGATACGATGGACGTAATTCCGTTCTTACGAGGCACACACACATACTTATCACGATATCACTTCTTTCTCGGTCTCTTGATACATTTCTCGACGCGCACTCTTGCTTTATTATTACACACACTTTTACTCTTGCAGGCAATATTTATTCTCGGCAATTTGATTTCTTTCGAAACTGCGGAGAAACTATCGCGGAACTATCGCATCGGGTTACCGACGCGATGCATTGTACACGAATAATATACTATAAAACGATCGTTCGCGCGCGTCATGTTTCTTTTCGGCACTTTCGAAACTACAAGCGTTCACTCACAGAGATATTTTCAATAATCTAAACTCGTAATTCTATCTATGCGATTGCGCAAATGATTCTTACGCCCGATATAATATCGTACCGTACTATTTACGATTGTAGCAATCACATATACTAATTACAGAGATCAACTGATTCCGTTTCTTCGACACTTGCGATGTCCGACGGCCATTTTCTCCGTACTGTTACCAGCGTTCCGGCGTCGCAGGTACTCAACACACTGAATATTACCGCGGATGTTAAACATGTCGACTTCCGGTTCCGGATAATTGGTGAATTAAAATTATAAATATATAATAGAAATATAAATTTAACGTATAAGACGGGCAACAAGAGCCAAATCGCGGATGACAATGCGTTATCCTAACGAAACTAAATAATTTTTTCGTTAGAATTAAATACCGGTGCACAAGGCACCAAATTTTACTTGGACACGGCCAAGATTTTAAATATGAAATAATCTCATATTTGAGATTTTAATTTCAATACCCCTTTTTTTAACCCCCTACGAAAAATAAATAAATAAATGCAAGAGAAAATATAGATCCGAAAATCGCTGAATCGGGAATCGAACCCGAGACCTTTCGCTTGCCGGGCGACTGCTCTTCCAGCTGAGCTATTCAGATCCTTTCGATTCTATACTTTTCTCTGTTATATATATTAATGTTGGTAAACAAACGCATTTTTTAAGCCAGCGTGTATCAATATAAGAGTTTTAACAAGGCTCTGTAATATAAATATAAATTTAACGTATAAGACGGGCAACAAGAGCCAAATCGCGGATGACAATGCGTTATCCTAACGAAACTAAATAATTTTTCGTTAGAATTAAATACCGGTGCACAAGGCACCAAATTTTACTTGGACACGGCCAAGATTTTAAATATGAAATAATCTCATATTTGAAATTTTAATTTCAATACCCCTTTTTTTAACCCCCTACGGAAAATAAATAAATGAATGCAAGAGAAAATATGCAAGAGAATGTAATAGAAATTCAAGAATACAAAATATATCTCGGAATCGCACCACAATTACTCTCGTGAAATTCGGGAGAGAAGACTTAATTGTTTCGCGCTCATTTTCAGTGGTCTCATCCGATTATTTGTGGCATCAAGATGCTGGGCCAAATATATATATTGTGCGATCGAGCATGTGAGTATCGAAAATTCAGTTAATAAATGCTCTATAACATGTCTTTTCGTTTTAATCAAGTTGTTTAATTTGATGATATGTGTGTGTGCGTGTGTGTGTACTCCACAGTTTTGATAATTGTAAGTAAATTATATTTCATACATCGAATAATTATAACGCAAAGCAAGATATTTCCGAGGTTAAACATTAATAAAATAATTATTATCTTAAATATTATCAAATATAACAGTAATTTATTACGGCCATAGATAGGTATTTCATTTCACTTCCCATTTCCCATTTTGCATCATGCGAAATATTTGCTTCGAAAAATAGGCATTATTTTATAATAACATACTTATGAGTTGTTAATTTTTAGTTAATTATCAGAAGGAATTATATGTTATGTTTCGTCGTGCGAATAATAAGCATTTGTTAACGATAGCAAGTATATGCAAAATACGAAGGTTATTTAACTCGTTATGATCATAATGTAAAATATTTAACGTACTGTAATAATATATTCGTATACATATTATATGTATTATTCCTTCTATTTCTCAAATTATAACAAAAAGTTGATGTATTGTTTTTCATTGCTTCAAAAATATTTGATACCGGGATTTATATATATATTATTTCGCGATCTAAAATTAATAATAAATTATATTGAAAAATTCAAAGCGTGACGTAAAATATATTAAAAAGCAATTCAAGCATCATTAAAGAAATAATTAATGGTCTTAACGTGGCGATAAAATAATGAGTCCTAAATATATTTCTTGTTTGTATCGATTTTTCTTTGAAATTATATAAATTTCGAGAAATATTTTTGTTCATCACTCTTTCTCGATGTAGCACGCTTACATCTTACATCATACATTCGGCATCGCGGTTGTTTATACACAGTCACCTTGTCATTCACCTTGTCATAGAATCAGTATATTATCGTGAAAAAGCGTTGAATAATTTGGTTTTAATTATAAGATAATAGTATATCTCATTTTCGACGAAATATTATGTCACTGTATTTATTAGTGACATTTCATTAATTTAGCTTAAGAAAAGAATATTCTGCATTTTATTTCTAATAATTAAATATTTCGTAATAGTAACAAAGTACCTGACACTTACAGTATGTTTGACTTTGTATTTTATTTGATGTATAGCTTATTGCACGCAACTGATTATACGTGATTTGTTGTCATTCGCATGGCAAGGCTCGAGTGAGAAGATAAGAGCATTTTCTCTTTTATATTATAATTAAAAATTAACAATTTATAAGCATACTAAATATGTCGACAATTATTTATCATACGATTAAATTATTAATACATAATGAATTTATTAATAATATATTTATATAATTACGGCTTTTATATATATTCGAAATGTATCGTTGGTTCAATGTAAATTTCAGTTTTATATTTTTAGCTTACATTGGCAATCGATTGTGTTTTAACTAATATCCTTATAATACTTGATTCGCTTATTATTACGTAATTAGGTTAAAATTATACTATCATTTTTTAAAATTATGATTAATAAAACATTGTATGGATATAAGTACTAAAATAGTATCGTTACGCATTTAACTATCAAGTATTAACAGTCGTAATAACTTATTTTATTTATACATCTATTAATTGCATAATAAAAAATTAATACTCTAATTCGATGTGTAAATTAGTTTATCAGTATTTGATTTATTAAAATATATGTATTTTATGTAATTTAATTGATCGAAATCTCGTACAAGTAAATAACAAAGCGATGATATATTTTCGAATATTACATTCTGCAGATATTTATCTACTAATTTTAACTCATATATCTTTATGCTTACATTATGCAAAATTCTAGTAAAATTAAAAATGTATACTTTTTGTTTACAGATGCAGCATCGCCGCTGTGATTAACGCATGAATTGCGAATTTCGAGCAAATCATAATTTCGTGCGGTATCGTTTTCGTTGCAATATAATAAAGTCCGTATTGCAATTAAGTAAATTTATTTACGCGAGTCAGTATAAAGAAGGCATCGAGCAACAGCGAAACAACTATAGAGTGAGTAATTGACTTAACCAAAAATTTATTTAATTTTGTTATATATTATTCATATTTTGAATGTCCTGTTTAAAATGATTTATGCTTGCACTGAACTATTCTAAATAATCATGTGGTATATAATGCATATAAAATATTCTAGAGATTATATAATAACATATTTAAAAATGTACAATAAATTATTTATATTTAATATACATATATATCATATTTATTATTATATTATTTATATTTTATATGCATATACATATACATATGAGATATTTTAATATTGTTTATTACCCGAGCTTAAAATACTTTCAAGCAATGAAAAAATTAAAATTGACCTGCGACAGGAAGCTGCTAATGCTCTATGTGTTAGCAGCTGTAAATTAATTTAATAAACAAAAATGTAATACTACATG